GAGATTCGAGTAATTTTGGGCTGTGTCGTAAAATATCTATACTTCGTTTCATTTTTTAAACGAAGGAGAAACCATATTAATCGGTCCATCTTGTTAAAATTCCCAAAGCTGTGGTTAGAATCTATCGATTACTCGTTCGTTTTCTTTCATTTTATAAATAGCCGCAGAGTAGTTATTAATATGATATTCGCCCTACATGGTGTAAATAAAAAGTAATCGTTATTCGCGTGCATTTCTATTTTCAAATATTTTCCATCCACATTCACGCGAAATCTTCATCCTGTTCCATTCGTTCTATTTAAAATATTTCTACGTCGTTGGAGCAACAATCAAATATGCGGGTACAAAATCTAGAAATAATTCAATTTACCCACATCTCGTCTAATTACGCGACAATGCTCAGTCATGTACACTACGCGCATTACGTTCCTCATACACCTCTCGACCGTCTGCATTTAATTTCATCCTGCAACCCTTTACTCATCCTCTGCTCCGTTCCAACCTACATACCTCGCCATCAATACGCCGCATACAATTCTTGCAGCATCCTGAAAGAGGAGGACGATCTCGAATCCGACGTAAATGCTCTCTGTCTGTCGGACTTAATTATCTCAGAATTATAGCCATCGTCGATTATGAGTTGATTACGTGTCGATTACCGAGGCAATTAGTTGGACGAATAAGCGTTGGACACGCACGTGCACTCACACGTTACTTTCACGCTCGAGATTCGGGCTCGTGTGCAGACGGCGCGCGTATGTCGAGAGACGAAAACCACCCCCTTCAGGGTACGACTGGTATTCACGGATAAAATCGTTCGTTGTTCGTCCAACTGACTTATCGTCATCAAGTCATTGGCTGTGATAAAAATAAACGAACGCGAGCAAAGTTTCGGAAAGGCGAACGTATACTGGACACAAGTTACAGGTATTTACGAGCGAGTCGAGAGCACGAGCTCGCCAGAAGTCGGCAGGTGCTCGTGGCAAAAGGTGGCGTCCCGAGACAGCCTTGAGAGAGCGTGCACGGGTCGTTGCTTTCGGCGAACGATGAGAAACAAAATTAGTCGCCTTTGCCGAACGAGCTCACGTAGGATCACCGTCCGCGAGAAAGCCAGTCGCTTTTGTGGAAATCTTTCTTTTTTCTTCTGTTTCACTTCGCTGTTGGGTAATTTGTCGAATGACTGGCAACAATGTTGACTGAAGTTGTCTGAAATTTTCAAAAGTCAACCTGTATTTGTCTGGTTTTATCGTTTTATGTAGATTTAAGAGGCAAATGAAACAATTTTGGTGCTTCGATTGGTAACAGTTTTGTTCGGCGTATCTAAGTGGTTGTATGTAAATTTTTTCTACCTGCTAAGCAAATACACATAGCCTATAAAAGAGGTTTTCGGTTGGACTTCGTTGGCCAAAGATCTCGCTGACACCTGCCGTTCAACTTGCGGTTTATTGGTCAGTATTGTTGAACCACGTTGTCTTTAATAAAAGAAATATGCGTACATATTTTTTTACACTTCTTTATAATATCCGCGCATTCTCGGTTATATCTTGCTTGCTGTCTACTTGTAGTTTCGTTTAATTTACAGCTTGATACCTTACAGTAATAATGAAAACGTTGGCTCCGACTAATAAAACAGAGTCAACTTTCTCGCAAAGGTTTCCTTGTTCCTTATCATCCTCTCTTAACGCTATACACGTACGCATAAACCGTACATAATTTAAAATTACTACCTACGCTATCAATGAAGCGAATTAAAGAACTTAAAAGTTTAAAAAGATAGCCAGAATTTGTACGTTCTTTGCAGGCGAACCAATCATTTCAACTTTTCCTTTCTTTTTATTTGGAAACCTACGGTGAGTATATTTTACAACGGGACGATAAAAGGATGGTCAACTTTTCATTCGATATTCTCCGTAAACGTTAATATTTTATATTCGGTATCTCGAATAGCGGAACGGTTGTAATAAAAGTTTCTCATATTGTGGAATTATTCTGGAGCATCGTCGGCTGTTTTCCATGAGACGGAGAACATGATCAGGATCGTGTGCGTTGGCCCGACTAAAAATCGAGCAATCGGCTAGTCTGGGGAGAAGACGAAGGGTCGTCGGCAGAGAACAATGGAACACGGTTGCACCTCGGTTCAAGGTCCAAACCGCTGCATTTAGAAATCGGTTTAGATCGAATTCGCCGGTTTCGTTGTTAGCAAATATGTAGTCGGTTTCGGTCGCGCAGGTGGCAGCTGCGCCAGGATGGCTCGTGATTTGCGGATTAAGAGGTTGCAGGTATCAGTGAAGCAATTACGTGTCTGGCCCGTATCGAAGCCAACTTTTGACAATTAGTAGAAAGGAGAGGGGACAGCTTCTTGTATCGTTCGCTTTTATATTACGCGGCGAACTGGTTCCTTTCAAAAATTTATCACAGCGCAGCTTTAAAGACGAACCGAGATGCTCCTTCTTTTATTAAGGTGTGCTCTTCAACACGCGTAATGACTCCGTTTTTTGCATTGTACTTGAGAATGGAATTTTAATAGGTTTTTCTGCGAGAATTAACGATCGGTTGCGTTCTTCGCATCATTCTTTTTCTTGTTTCTCGTGTTCCCTTTTTTTTCACAGAAATTTTCCCTTTTCTTTTCACAATTAGCTTTATGCTAATCATAAATTGCAACCAGAGAAAATTACAAGGTTGATCGGCGATCAACGATCTCGACACGAAGTACAAATTCCTACACAGTCTGCTGGAATCATTGGCGTCGGAGTTCAAGGACGATAGATCGGTGTAACTTAACCTAGCTTAACTGATTCAGAGTGAAGATATTCTTGATATCTCGATTACGGAAAGTTAACCATTCTACTACGGTATGATGCTTTAGCACAGGCTATAGCGCAGTGCACTGTGCATGAACGTAGTGCCAAGACGTTTCTTCAGAAACTTGTTTCGCGGTGCTACGTGGGATATCGATCGCAATAAAAACTTGGTTTTTCTCGTTTCATCGATGATATTGCATAAATTTATCGTGTCGTGAATTTCATTACATTCGAAGCAGGCAAAAAAGAAAATGCTCTGTCGGGCTTGGATCGAACGTGATCAAAATGTCTTAATTTAATGGAGGAACAAACAAGACAATAAATACTTTTGCTTGATTCTAGAAAACATGTTCAATCATCGTGTGTACTTTTATCCACATTTCCATTCCACTAATTATTATCGATAAAACAGGGAAAAGTGTTGAAACAGGTAACAGAGTTGCAACCTTGTGAGACGGTGGGTAATTAAGTTTCAAACAAGCGAGGCCATTGAGAAGGATCACACTTTTATATATTTGATACTAAGCAATAATACAGATTTCCTTTGAACTATTCCTGATGTCGTATCTAATTTACAGCATGGTAGGAGTCTCAAAGGATCCAACTAAGGTTTACGACTCGAACGATACCTTGCTATTATTTCTCGAGAATCGTAAATTTCCTTCCCGTTGCATTTCCTTTCGCCGATCTGCTGCACTGACTGCACGCACCTCGAAAAAGAGTACCGACGAATGCGTTTGCTAGGCACCCTATATGCAGACAGAGGTCGTTGACGGGACTGCAGATAGGAAAGGGTGTCGTATCGTGAGATTTACCGTGAACGATACAACGAATAATCTTGGAAAATACAGTATTGCCACTGTAATATTCTAAACCAAGTATATACCCTGAAATGCACAAACCAATCTACGTTTGTTAAATCTTCTCTAAAATAAAGTCAATTACCGATACACTTTCTGATTAAAAAAGGAACAAGATAAACGAACTCGAAAGCTATATTAAACAAATACTGGAACTGTCAAAAAGAAAGGGGCTATATTCGTTAATTAAAACTGCAATCAAACAAAGCAGAAGGTACAGATATTGACGGTGAGTAATTAAATTAACCGAAACAACATCGACGGAATGAAAGTGCATCCCTTGATCATGGCGTCTCGCGTTATCACGAAGAGATGGAGCTGCGATCCCAGGGCAGCCCCGGGCTCGCAAACACCGGCGTTGGAAATCGGTGGTGCAGCCGGTGCTTCAGCAGAGATCCATAGGGAAACTTGACGAAGAGGCGAGAGAGCACAAGCGGTAACACGGAGGGGGTTGCAAGCCGGTAGAGACGAGTGCACGCGCCCGTATCTGGAGGCGAACGAAGTGCGGCGCTCTTGGCCGCTAGATGCGCTGGTACTTTGTGCGCCGGTTGGCCGAATGTAGTGGGGAGGGGTGGTACGGTGCCACGTGACCGTGGTGACCAATCAGCATGACGCATAGCCGGCGTCCGGCACATGGCGGCGCGCCGGCTTTAGCACCCGCAGTCG